TTACTCCTGAGTAGAGAAAACCCACTTCTACTCAGAACACTTCAATCCTGACACTCTGGTCACTGAATATGTCAAGTTTTTTCACCCCACAACAAGCAATTATCTGTGATACCAGCTGGTATCCTGCAATTTAATCATAACACTGTCTCTCTGGAGATATTGTCATATCCTTCAGGTTAAGGTCTCAGTCCCAGGACCCTGCCCCACCCATCCCACCCCACTTCAGATGCCAGTCGCAAGTAGTAGGTCTGCAGGTTATTCACAACTTCTGTCTGACTTGGTTACAAATCAAAGGTTCCTATAAACCCCCTCGTTGGATTTGATTAATTTTCTAGAACTCCGGGAGACACTAAGTTTACCAGTTTATGAAAGGATACAGATGAATAGATAGGTGAAGAGAGCGCTGTAAGCTCCCTGTGAATTTGGGTACCTCACCTTCCTGGTACATGAATGTTCTCACCAACCCAGAAGCTCTCTGAACCCCATACTATTGGGAATGTGCAGTCTTCCTCACATAGGCATAGTCGATTATTAACACCATTTTCTTTTCTTTTTTTCTTTTTTTTAAATATATTTTATTGATTTTGTACAGATAGGAAGGGAGAGAGATAGAGAGTTAGAAACATCGATGAGAGAGAGTCATCGATCAGCCACCTCTTGCACACCCCCTACTAGGGATATGCCCGCAACCAAGGTACATGCCCTTGACCGGAATCGAACCCGGGACCTTTCAGTCCCCAAGCCGATGCTCTATCCATTGAGCCAAACTGGTTTCGGCTATTAACACCATTTTCAACCTTTCTCCCCGCTCTGGAGGACAGAGGCGGGTAGCTGAAAATTCCAAGCTCCAAACCAAGCCATGATGATAGTCCCCCTCCAGGAGCCATCAGCAGCCCAACCAGAGTCTCCTCATTAGAACAAAAGATGATCTTCCTGCCAGGAATCAGGGTCAGAGATGAATAAACAGGCAGACCTCACTTTGTTGCACTTATGTTGCATTTTTTACAAATGGAATGTAAGACCCTCAAGCAGTAAAAAGATTCTAACTCGCTCTATTGCAGTATTCACTTATTGTGGTAGTCTGGAACTAAACCTGCAGTATCTTTGAGGAATATATTTTCTATTATCTAACATCTGACAACTTGACAGCCTTAGCCCTCCTTCTTCCCCTTGTGTCCCATGTCTGTACAAGGTGACTGAAAAAAAGCCTGCTCCCCATTTCTTTAGTGCTGACAAGATACTCAGTCCATGAAAGCCCTCTCTTTGTGTCTGTGTGTGTGAACTCTTACCCTAGCCCGTACCTAACCTCAATAAAAATAAAAACCAGTCCAGCCCAGCTGGCATGATTCAGTGGTTGGGCATGGACCTGTGAGCCTGGAGGTCACGGTTCAATTCCCAGTCAGGACACTGCCCACGTTGCAGACTCAGTCCGCAGTAGGGGGCATGCAGGAGGCAGCCGATCAATGGTTCTCTCTCATCATTGATGCTACACTCTCGTTCTCTACTTCGATCTCTGAAATCCATAAAAATTTTTTTTTTTTTTAATCCAGTCCAGGCTTCTTTCCTTGCTCTCTCAAGCCATTTCTCACTTGCTTGAGAGGCCTTCCCAGCTCTGCCTAGAGACCTCAGTTATAGAAGTTATTATAAACGCTTTCATACGTTCCTGGCAGGTGTGTATTGGTCTCAGCTATTCATCCAAACTTTGGGTGGGGTTGGGGGTCCACCTTTCAATGCAAATTATAGGAAACGTAACATCTTGTATATACATATTGCAACACACTTTGCTTTTTTTTCTATTGATAAATCCTCCAGATCTTTTCATAGCAATACTCTTTGTTTAAAAAAAAGTACATATAGTGAATTTATATAACCCATTCTTTCTAAATAGACACTTGGCTTGTTACCAATTTTTTATGCCAAAACTCAGATTGCAACTTTACAGGGCAAACAAACATATACAAATAGTTCTTTTCCAATCTTTTTTTTTTTAAATATGCTATGTTTTGGGTTTTTTTAATATATTTTATTGATTTTTTTTTTTTACAGAGAGGAATGGAGAGGGATAGAGAGTTAGAAACATAGATGAGAGAGAGACATCGGTCAGCTGCCTCCTGCACCCCCTCTCCCCCCCTCCCCACTGGGGATGTGCCTGCAACCAAGGTATATGCCCTTGACCAGAATCGAACTTGGGACCCTCAGTCCACAGGCCAACACTCTATCCACTGAGCCAAACCGGTTTTGGCTTTTCCAATCTTAATTACTTCTTAATTTTATCATTAACTGTATTCAGAAAAAATTGTACAAACTGAGTTATGGGAAAACTTAGTAATAACAGAACAAACACCCTTGGAATCATCGTCAAGATTCATAAATGGCCTGTGGGCAGTGGTGAGGGTTTCCTGATGCTCCCATCCCTGACTCATTGCTGCCCTGCCCCCTAGATGACCACTGCCCTGATTTATTCTTCATACCTTTGTCATCTATTCTTTTTCTCTAAGCAGCGTTCTTCCATTTGCCTCCTTTGCCTTCCAAAGAATGACTATTAATGGAGTTCCTTGAAAAGGTTTTCTCTTGGATACTTAGCCTCTGTGGACAAAAAGGGGACACATACTAAGGAAATGCCTGCATGGCAGCCTTGCAAACTCAGAGACCTAAAATAACCACAAAGGATGGTCTGAAATTAAAGCTTTTTAACTAGCCTTAGCTGGTTTTGCTCAGTGGATAGAGCATTGGCCTGCAGACTGAAGAGTCCCTGGTTCTATTCTGATCAAGGGCACATACCCGGATTGCAAGTTTGATCCCCAGTGGAAAGTGCACAGGAGGCAACTGATCAATGATTCTCTCTCATCGTTGATGTTTCTCTCTGTCCCTTCCCTTCCTGTCTGAAATCAATAAAAATATTTTTTAAACTTTTTTAACTAAAAGCAGTTTATGGCAGATAGTCATGCCCTAGGCTAGAATCTTTCCTAACAAAAGTCAATCTTTACCTTAACTGAACTTGTCTGTTGCCTTTTGCATCTAAGATAACATACCTTTGGAACGTCAGGATAACTTCTTTTTTTCCGGACTCCTCCGGGTACCAGGGCAGAGACTACAAATTCTCTCATTGTTATTTTTGTCATATTATTTGTTTACTATTAATTATCTTGTACCCACCTATGTAAAAGATGTATATTTCTGTCACTTAATTTTTTGTTCAATCCCAGAGGCCCCCCCCCTCATTATGTCTTTGCTTTCTACCACTTCCCTAATCTATCACAAATGGATTTCTTTTCTTTTTCAATATATATTTTTATTGATTTCAGAAAGGAAAGGTGAGATAGAAACTTCAGTGATGAGAATCATTGATCAGCTGCCTCTTGCACGCCCCCTACTGGGGATACAGGGCAAACCCGGACATGTGCCCTGACTGGGAATCCCGTGACCTCCTGGTTGATAGGTTGATGCTGGCATCTGGGGCTTGGGGCCTGGTCTAGGACTATGGGCTTCACACTTCCCACCGGAGCCAAGTGCCCCGGAGACCACAGGATTCTTTAAAGCACCAGATATGTGGGAGTAGGAAGGCAGAAGGACGGACATCTCCTTGCTGGAGACGGTCAACCATCAAAATGGAACCAGTCATCATTACATTGGAAGAGGTCATTTTTAAACGTCTCTCTTTTTGAAGAAGGGTCGTGAGTGGCCTGACAGCCTTATAGTTAAAGGTCAGATTCAGATCCAGAGCTAAGACCAGCTCTGCTCAAAGATGTAACCTCCAGCTCCCTGTCACTCGGGCGGGAGGGGCGGGGCTTGCAAACTGTCCAATCAGGGGAGTCGCCGGGGACGTACGTGAGGGCGGCGCTCTGGTGACGTCGTGGACTGTGGTCTCGTCGCTTCTCTCGCCATCCGCGGCGGTTACAGGCGTCGGGTAGCTTCTCCACGCCCTCCGCCACGGAGACCTCCGCCAGGACCTGCAGGTCCAGGAGAGTCCGTGTGGACAGCAGGGACCCCCTAGTAGGAAATGGTGAGTGTGTGGGCGGCGGCGGTGGGAACCCGAGCAGGAGGGGCTGGGGCCGCCTGGTGGACGCGGCCCCGGAGGACCCTGCGGAGTTCGGGCGGCGCGGCACGCAGCCGGGGCTCCGCGGCAAGCGGACCCGCCGCCGGCGGTGTCTCCCCGGGAATGTCCGGTGGCCACAGCGAGGACCAGCAGGAGACAGTCGGGACTCAGTCTCGGGGGTTCCCATGTGGGAGCACGGTGGTCTGTGGTCCCCAGGCCGTCTTTCTCCCCAGGAGGACCCGTTTTTGCTTGAATTTTATAGATGTTTGGGGAGCAGGGCCTCAAATCTACAAGTCTGTCCCCCAACCTAAATCTTTCTGGGACTTACAGCAAACCTTAAATTTCCAAATCTTTCCCCGCATTCCCAACGCCATCTTCCCCTCCCTAGTCCACAGCATCATTGTTAACTGTTTGACCGCCATGGTCCACTTCACACTGCATAGTATTTTAATTGTGTCATTTCTCCACACCGCCATGAATGTTCCCCTTTTTACAGATTTTCTATATATTATTATTTATATAGATATAGGTATTTTCCCCCTATGGATGTTTTATGGAAGAGGAAAGCGTGGAATGATCATCTGGAATTGTGTTGTGTAAAAAGCCTGGGTCTCTCCCCCAGGACCTTTCGTTTCTATCTCTCTCACCTCTGAAATAAATAAAAATATTTTTTTTCTTAAAAAGAGTTGTATCCTGCCGAAGCCGTTTTTGGCTCAGTGGATAGAGCGTCGGCCTGCAGACTAAAAGGTCCTGGGTTCGATTCCGGTCAAGGGCATGTACCTTGCTTGCGGGCACATCCCCAGTGGGGGGTGTGCAAGAAGCAACTGATTGAGCTTGGGGCTAGCGAGCGCGACGAATCAGAGCCTTGCGCCGTCTGTGGGCGCTTCTGGGCCTCCGGCTTCTCCGCCTTCCACCCTGGCGCCCCCAAGTCCTGGCTCCCCATCCTCGCTGCCCAGGGTGTCGACGCCCTGCGGGCTCACGGGCTCAATCTGCGCAGCGCCTCCTCCATGTTGAGCAAACCTCTTCAGGGGCTTGCGATGGCCCCCACACCGCCGCCAGGAGGCAAGGATCGGGAAGCGTTCGAGGCCAAGTACCGACTTGGCCCCCTGCTGGGAAAGGGGGGCTTTGGCACAGTCTTCGCAGGACATCGCATCACGGACCAGCTCCAGGTGGCCATCAAAGTGATCCCCAGGAATCGCGTGCTGGGCCGGTCCACCCTGTCGGAGACAGAGTTGGTCACATGCCCGCTGGAGGTGGCGCTGCTCTGGAAGGTGGGTGCAGGCGGTGGGCACCCCGGTGTGATCCGCCTGCTCGACTGGTTTGAGACCCCCGAGGGCTACATGCTGGTCCTTGAGCGGCCTCTGCCGGCCCAGGATCTCTTTGACTACATCACTGAGCAGGGCCCACTGGGCGAAGAACGGAGCCGCTGCCTCTTCACCCAGTTGGTGTCGGCCGTGCGGCACTGCCACACCCGGGGGGTCGTGCATCGCGACATCAAGGACGAGAACATCCTGATAGACCTCCGCCGAGTGTCTATCAAACTCATTGATTTTGGTTCCGGTGCCCTGCTTCATGATGAGCCCTACACTGACTTTGACGGGACAAGGGTGTACAGTCCCCCGGAGTGGATCTCACACCACCAGTACCATGCCCTCCCAGCCACCGTCTGGTCCCTGGGCATCCTCTTCTATGACATGGTGTGCGGGGACATTCCCTTCGAGAGGGACCAGGAGATTTTGGATGCTGAGCTCCACTTCCCAGACCATGTGACCCCAGACTGTTGTGCCCTAATCCGCCGGTGCCTGGACCCTAAACCTTCTGCTCGACCCTCCTTGGAGGAGATCCTGGTGGATCCCTGGATGCAGACCCCAGATGAGGATGCACCCCCTGACACTCCTAAAGGGGGTTCTGCCCCTTTGGCCTGGTCCCTGCTGCCCTAGTTGGGTTGTCCCCTGGCCACCGCCACAGGGATAGAGGGACATCCGTTGATCTGATTTTACAGGTCATTACAAATCCAGTGTTACTAGGGTCAGAAAACAAGCCCAGTCTGCCCAGTCCCCATCCCAATCCCGTTAAGGAGCCTCCCTCCCAGAATCTGTGGTTGCTCATTCTGGAGGGGGGAGGGGGTACTTCCTAGCTTCTCATTTGAAGTTAATTCCATTCTGAGCCCCTGGAATCCGTGTTACAACCCTCACACTGGCACTCCTGCCTGCTACACCACATGAACTTAGTTGAAATGCTCTAACTTGGGCAGGGTGCTTTTGTTGGAATACCCAGCAGCTCTTAATTTTAGCCAAGGGACTGTCTTCTGGCTTAGGTTAAGGTTCCATGTTCAGTCAAGCTGCTTGCCTACCTCAGCCCAGGGTTGATTATTCTGGGGGAGGTGATGCCCTGTTGTTATCCCAGGGTTTTCTTCTTCTTCTTCCTTTTTCTTCTTTTTTTTCTTTTGTGAAGGGACCCTACTCTGTTATTCCAAGTGCTCTTATTCTGGTGAGGAGAAAACCCTACTTCCAAGATGAGGGGAGGAATGGGAGATGGACACCACAAGTCCACTGAGATGGGTTGGATGGTTTTGGGGAGATAGGGTGGGGAAATAAGTCTTATTGTTTGTTCTCCTAGGGCCTCCCCCTCCACCTTTTTTTGGTTTCTTGCTGCCTCCTTCTGAGCCAGGATTGTCCAGTTGCTGAAATGTAAATACTTATGTATTAGGAGGAAGAGAGCTCCAACTGTGTCATCCTCTCTCTTCTCTCCATGCCTGGATTATTTAAAAAGCCATATGTGGACACCCACTATTTAATAAACGTACTAGAATCACAACAACAACAACAACAACAAAAAAGCAACTGATTGATGATTCTCATCTATGTTTCTAACTCTCCTCTTTCTGTAAAAAATCAATAAAATATATTTTTTTTAAAGGAGTTGTATCCTAATAAGGGTGTATGGACTGCAAGCTTCAGGATGTGGGTTTTCTCCTGAACTATGGGGAAGAATGCAGTTTATCTTACCGGCTTTGAAGATTTACGTTTCTTTCTTTGGATGCTCATAATATTGCATATTGAAGCTCTGTACTCCAGTTTTCCTTGGCAGTCTGTAATCTTTTCTGGGTGAGTGTGTAAGATTTTTAGTTCTTGTGCTTTCAAAATGTAAGTTAACAGAGAGGCATGGGAGTTTGGTAAGATCTGGAACCAAACAAAATATGTTTCTTTTAGGCAAGAGATCCTCAACATATGAGATGAGTGTATTTGAGCTCTTAGGTACATTTTACATTTTAGGTCAGTTTTTGTATGTGTATGTCCCTGGAGAGCTTCAAATTTTAAATGCTGTACTATTGCTTAGGCAAAAGGGGAATGAAATCCTATTTTAATTAATAGACGAAAAACAACTCAAAACTTAAGTCTTTTAAAATCCTGATACATTTAATGGATTAGGCCCAAATAAAATTATGATATGCTTTGCCCTGGCCAGGCAGCTCAGTTGGTTAGAGCAAGCCCCACTAGCCAAGGTAGCAGATCCCATCCTAGTCAGGGCATATATAAGAATCAATCAACCAATACATGCACAAATAAATGGAACAAAAAATCAATGTTTCTCTTCTCTCCTCTGCTCTCTCTGAAATAAATAAAAATCATTAAAAGTGTGTTTGCCCAGCCTATGTGGCTCAGTGGTTGAGAGTCAACCTATGAACTATGAGGTCACGGTTTGATTTCCAGTGTGGGGCATGCAGGAGGCAGCCAGTCAATGATTCTCTCTCATCATTGACGTTTCTATGTCTCTCCCTTCCTCTCTGAAATAAAAGTTGTTTAAGTATAATGTGGCCCTAGCTGGTGTGCTTTGGGGGATAGAGCATCGGCCCATGGACTGAATGGTCCCGAGGTTTGATTCCAGTCAAGGGCACGTATCTCAGTTGCAGGTTCGCTGCTCAGGGTGCATGCAGGAGCCAACCAATCAATGTGTCTCTCATTAATGTTTCTGTCTCTCCCTCTCCCACCCTTTCTAAAAATCAATAGAAAAATATCCTCGGATGAGGATTAACAACAATAAAAGTATAATATCCTTTTGTACCTCAAATAATACCCCAGTGTGATATGTTAGGAGAAGCTATAATGCCTCTGGTTGGTTTGGTTAGAAAAAAATTTTTGAGTTTTCTCTTTTTTTGTGATTTAAACTTTTATAAACATGAGTGTTTAAAGGATTATATCTTAGAATGGTTTTCTATGTTGAAAAGAAAAACAAATTTAAATTATAATTTAAAAAGCAAAAGTAGTTTAATTTAAAATAATGACTGTTAAATAGAAAAAATTATATATACACACACGCACACACATACACATACTAGAGGCCCAGTGCATGCAAATTCATACACTGGAGGGGTGGTTCCTCAGCCCAGCCTGCCCCCTCTCACAGTCCGGGAGCCCTCAGGGGCAGGAGGCAACCAGTGATCAAGGGAAGGCAACAGACACCCCATCACTCCTCTGCTGCTACCACTGCTGGCAGCACAAGCCTCGGGCTGACCCTGAGCGGCTGGCGGGCTAAGGGCACTGGGGGACTCCAGAGGCAGGTGCTTGGAGCGGCCGGACCTGCCTTGGAGCAGGCCTGGCTGTGCTGCACACCTGCCACCGGGCAGGGATAAGGGGACTGTGCACCGCCATCTTTGAGGATGGGACAGTCAGCATATTCCCTCATTGACTGCGGACCGCCATCTTTGAGGGTGGGGCATTCAATTAGCATATTCCCTCCTTATTGGCTGTGGGCGCTGCTATCTTTATGACAGAATGAGGGTTAATTAGCATATTCCCTCTTTATTAGATAGGATTACTCAGAAAAACAATGTATGCAATGGCTAGCAAAAGTCTATGTAAGATAAGGTTTAAAGTCAACTCACTACTCAAACATCCTGGTCCCCTCCAAGCTCTTGTTTCAGCCATCCACAGTAACCCAATGTTAAATTTCTTAAGCATCCTGTTAGTGTTTCTTTATAACGAGCAGTTGAACCCCACACTTTTTAATATTTGACTGCTCATGACTGATTCTCCCTCCCTCTGCCCTGCAGGCTCCCACCTGGACAAACTGATGAGAAGGTCCAAGTGGTCTTTTCTCTAGAGATGGCAGGAAATTCAGATCTCACAAGCCCCTGCCCTTGGACAAGGATTCTTGCCCCAGCTCCACCCCAACCAACTATAACCGTTGGTGCCACAAGCTACCCGGAGCGTCTGTCTTCTCTTGCTCTGACCTGCTATGCTGCCTGTCGGCAGCCTTCGCCGTGTGCAGCTGGAGAGCTAGTGCTGTGAGCGGTGCTAACCCCTGTAGCATGGCTGAACCTACCAAGCTTTCAACTGATGTTCAGCCTACCAGAATTGACAGTTTCAAGAATTCTGAGCCCTGGTCCGTGTGCCCCAGTTGGCTGGGCATCATCCCAGGCACAGAAGGTACAGGGTCTGTTCCCAGTCAGGGCACATGCGCAGATTTCAGGCTCAATCCCAGGTAGGGGGCGTCCAGGAGGCAACGGATGGATGATGTTTCACTCTCATCGATGTTTCTATCTCTCTAGCCCTCCCTTCCTCTCTCTCTAAAAATCAATACTTTAAAAAAAAAATTCTGAGGCATTTGGAAACAGGAGTGTGGGATCAGGGCCCACCTTAACTTAATCCTGGGTCTTTGTTGGGATTTATCTATTAGAGTGATTCTGTGACAGGGGCAGGTACGGCACAGGTGAGAGAAGGGGTCTGTCCCCACAGATCCTGCTGCGGAGACTGGGTGCTGACAAAGATGCTGAGGTTCCCTGAGGGTAACCAGGTAGTGAAGGTGTATCATGTCCCTTCAGAGGTGAAGGGCAGCTGCAGCTGAGAGGCTGCTGACATAGGTAGAGCAGAACAAGCAGTCAAATCTGTGAGGACAGGATATTTACCAGTTGCTGAGTAGATAGAGGCAGTAATTTCTATTATGTTGGGGATGGAAAATAAGGGCTTATTTGGTTGTGGTATACTTTGGATAAAGTATATCCACCAGTAGGGGGTGTGCAAGAGGCAGCTGATCAAAGTTTCTCTCTCATCGATGTTTCTAACTCTCTATTCCCTCTCTCTTCCTCTCTGTAAAAACTCAATAAAATAAAATAAAATTTAAAAAACCTCAATTCCACTATAGAGACTCCTTCAGACAAGATATGGCTAGACCTACGCCCTTTGGCCCAGCTGGCATGCCTCGGTGGTTGAGCGTCAACCTATGGACCAGGAGGTCACTATATGATTCCCAGTCAGGGCATGGTCCCAGGTTGCAGGCTCCATCCCAGGGTGGGGTATGCAGAAGGCAGCTGATCAGTGATTCTCTCTTATCATTAGTGTTTATATCTCTCCCTCTCCCTTCCTCTCTGAAATCAATAAGAAAATATTAAAAATAAACCTGTGCCCTTTGGCAAATCCTACTGGCAGGATGGGGTGGCCTCTCCTCAGTTCCTTGCCAGGTGCCATGGAGCTGAAGCAGGTCACCCCTTTCTAAGACCTCCAGACTTACTGGGGAGCTTCGCAGGCTTCCCTGAGGTAAAAGCACTGGGAGTTTACAGACGTCTGAGATGGCATCACCTCATTCCTACATGGTGGAGCTCAGGCAGATTTACTACTGTTATCCCTTAATTGGAACATCCTTTTAAAGGATGGGACTTAAGGGTCAACATGACTGGCCAAACATCAGGCAATCGTCTTAGCACTGACCAGCAACTGGCTTTGCTGGCCATGTTTACAGACTCTTGGATGATTGCCTTTTGTTGTAAACAAATTCTATGATTTTTCTTGCTTGCCACAGTATAAATCAAGGTAACTCCTGTCTCCACATTTACCAAGGCCATAGTGTGAGATCTTCCCAAGACACTGGGAGTTCTAGACAATTGGACTGATAACAAAGGAACTCATTTCACTTCTCAGAATATATGGTAGTAGGCTCTTGAGAAAGGCGTCAGTGGAAGTTTCTCTTCTCTTCCAAGTCTCAGGGTGCAGTCCTCATAGAACACCATAATGGCTTTTTGAAATAACTTGAAATCAGTTGAATGAAATATGGCTTCTTTCAGTCATCAGCAGTCATTATTAATGTATATGTCTTGCCTTTTTTTTTTCTTTTTAATGGACTTAGCTTATCTTTACAGCAATTTTAGGTTTGCAGAAAATTTGATCAGAAAGTAGAGAGTTCCTACATAACCCCTCTGCCTCCACATAGTTTGTCTTATTTTGTATATCTTACTAGAGGCCCGGTGCACGACATTCATGCACTGCGGTGGGGGTCCCTCAGCCTGGCCTGTGCCCTCTCACAGTCTGGGACTCCTCAGGGGCCTAAACCAGCAAGCAGACATCCCCCAAGGGGTCCTTAGCACTGCTGTGGAGGCGGGAGAGGCTCCCGCCACTGCTGCTGCACTCACCAGCCTTGAACCTGGCTCCTGGCTGAATGGTGTTTCCCTCTGTGAGAGCGCACTGACCACCAGGGGGCAGCTCCTGCATTGAATATCTGCTCCCCTGATGGTCAGTGTGTGTCATAGCAACCAGTCATTCCCCTGTTCGGTCAATATGCATATTAGGGTTTTTTTATATAGGATATTACTGTTGTACATTTTATATTGGTGCATTAAAGTTCACAGTTTATATTAGTGTTGAATGTTGTACAGTCTATGAGCTTTGGTAAAATGATTACAGTTCACAGTTTTACCATCTTTTCTGCATCATGTAGAAAACTTGCACTGCCCTAAAAATCCCGTGCTCCACCTCTTCATTCATTTCTGCCTCCCACCCCCAAATCCCTGGCAACCAAAGATCTTTCACTGTCTCATAGTTTTG